TACACGAGAGAAGCATACACGATGTCCTAGCAGTATGGACTGTATGGACTAGCATATCCTGGGATACGCTGTAAACGGTAGCAAGCATACAACTCCGACTAGGGATAGAGAGGATGAGAAAGAGAGAGGGATAGAGAGAGAGAGAGGAAAAAGGGCATGACACGTGACGATTTCTGTGCAAAGGAGGTGCACGTTGGCTGCCAGCGGACGTTGTCGTGCGGTGCATATATGCACAATGTTTGCGCATCCTCGACGGTACGATTATTGTCCCGAGCATACCAGCGGGACCACTGCGAGATGCGTTCACCGTCCCGAGACATGCACATACGCGGCTAACGTGTTTGGCGACCGCGCATACCACGAAAACTGGAGAAGCCTCTCTCTCTCACACACATACGCACATACATCCTCGCTCTTGGTCCCTCCCAAACACAACAGAATGTCGAGTTAGCCTGGAGTCCGAGCTAGAGATGGTGGTCAGAACAGAAAGGTAGCCTCAAGGGTGACGCGGACTTGAAACAAGGGGGTTGTTGCGCGACTGGACTCGTCCCGCATACGTAACACTAGTTCGACCGCCTCTCTTGCACCGAGATTTATGGCAAACGCGTTTGGACTGACCACGAAGAAGATAAGATTCGCCCGCGATCGGGATAACGAGCGAAGATTCCCCTTTCCGGACAGAGAGTCGTAGGGAAGCTCTATCCAAAGAGAGATCTATTGTGGCTACGCGTGATGCAATTAGAGCACGATTGGTGCAATTCAATGTATCGATATCCCAAAACGATTTAAATATAAATAAATAAATATATATTTTATAATATTAATTTATTTTCGACAAATAGATGAGCATTAAATTTTGTAATTATTCTTTTTCAATCATAAATTTATTAAGATTAATTTATTCAAGATTAATTTGACTGTAAAATTAACTTTGATTGATTTTTCCTCAGCAAAGACAACGAGTATTATCACTTTCTTCATTTTTAACATTAAAATCTTATCTTTTTAAAATTTATTTTAAATTAGTACAAGTTGTAGACTTCTTTATGATTTTAATATTTTAATATTAAAATAAATATGAGAAATATTCCGATGCATTTCGAAACAAAGCAAATATTTCCTAATAGCTCAATTCTATCATTTGCGATTAAAATTCGAAGATTCTTATCGAGTGTTACGCAAAAGGAGCTCCGAGTGTGCAATCGTAACGGTTACAAAGTGCGAGGCACCATCTCGGTAAACTAGTCTAATCCGAGAGCAGGTCTCGGAACCGTTGCGGCTTCTTCATCTCCGCGACGCCAACTTTCGCGAGAACATTCTCTCGACGGCCTTCAGACCAGTCATTTAGTTATATTAAGGAAAAGTTGCCGCGATCTCCGCTAGAAGTAAATGCGACGGAGTTGGACGACGGAGAAAAGAAACTTCCGAGTCTGTGAGCCGACCGGCGATTAAGAGGAGTAGAAAACTTCTCCCAGACGCTCATGTGTCCTGTGCGAGATAACGAATGTCATCTCGGCTATACTATGCTTTGCGTCGACAGAATTATGGCCACCGCCATGTTCGCGGTGTCATCGTAGACCTTTGCGCAAAAATATGAGGTTCAGCACTAAATATTATATTGCCTTGATAATTTTTTTACGTTACGTTAGAGCCAGTGCTTGGCTTTAAGTTAATATTGCAAATTTTAAAAATATAGTACTGCGTTACATCAAACGTTGATTAACTAATTTCTCTTAAATTAAAACAATTAGAGACAGTTTCTTTAAATATATTGATTTATAAATGTAGAACTTCATCGGTGTTACATATTTCTAATGTAGTGCTTATCATATTAAAATATTAAATAAACGATAGACAAGTAACTAAAAAAAATTAAATTAATGCAAAAAAATTAGAAAGTGAGCAGACTTTAATTGTGTTAAATATAATAAAAAATTATAATTTTATCAAGACAAAAAGGACAAATAAATTATTTTATATAGTAATAAATTAGTATGTATGAATGCTCAGAAATAAGATTGAATTTCTTGTTTGATGACATCAATAATCTTGCGGAAAAGATATAATTTAGAGGTTCTTATATTGGAGTATATTTCGCACATTATTCTTAATGGTATGAAGAGTAGAAAATCCCTTGGATATTATCACCTTCACGCGCTATTTGTTACAATCATTCTGTTGTATCTGTTAAACTCAATTTGCTGAACGAATTTACGAAATAAAAATAATTAGCTGAAGGTGTGTTCAATATGAAAAAATATCAAAATACATAAATATGTATATATATTATGTTCTATTATATATATATTTTTTTAGTTCTTATTTACTTGATAACACATAATTAAAACTTATAATAAATTTAGATATTGAAATTTTTCTAAGAATATAAATAAATAGTAATATATTTGTGCAAAATATTCAATCTAGATCAAAATTAATAATAGTTAAGCACACTTTGAAAAGTAAGCACATGTCTTCACAATAACTTACAGAATTAATAATATATGGATATTTATCAGAATTAATAATTTATTGAATTAATAATATATAGATAATCATGAAGAATTCATAACTAATGTAAATTTATTAATATAATTATTTGAATACTTTAAAACACACAGATGAGTAATAATAATATAGAAGTTATAATCAATATTTAGAAATTTGAAAAGATTAATGTATTATTTTTGAAAAAATAAAATATATGTTAAAATTATTTCTAAATGTCTAGAGAAAAATATTATAGAAGTGAAATTTTTAAGTATACCATTTTAATTAATTTTATAATCGATATATCGATTTTTATCAATTATAAAATTAATTAAAATGACTATATCTAATATCATATTTGTTATATTTGCATAAATATTTTATTCTTATTAAAAATAAAAAACAGAATCATTATTTATGTAATCCATTATGAAAAATGCAAAATGATATTAATAGTTTAAATATAAAGAAATGTCAAACATAGAAGTAAACACATCCAATAATTGTAAAAATTTAAAAAAAGCTAAACTTTACAAGATAAATGTTAACTAATATTTTTATTTAACTTAATTTATTAACATATTTGTAGAATAAAATCTTTAAAATTTAATTAAATTATATACAGATTTGAAAAAATTTTAATTACAGATTTAAAATTTGAATTTCCAGATTTATCAATTATAAATATAAATAAAGAATAAAATTCTTAATTCTCACATTCAGTATTTTTAAGATTTGTAATCTCAGATATATATATTCAAATTTATAATTTAATTAATTCTTAAATTTTTTTATTCTACAAATATGTACAAAATAAGTTGAATAAGAAGATTAGCGGATATTTATTTTATTTAGTTTTTAATTTTCTTAATTAAATAATGTTTTTTTAAATATTTATATTTAAAATATCAATGTTACACTTAATTATAATGAACCTATTTGCAAAAAATCAATCATGCTGCTTTTGCATTGAACAAGTCAAAGACGATCAGCAGTTGAAGTCATGGACGACAATTACCACGAGGGTGATTCGGTACTATCGAAAATTAACTGCGCTGACTCGGACCAATGCGATCCCTTGGCAATAGTACATTATTGTAGTAGGCTCTAGCACACGTGCTAGATGTGTATACATTAAACTAGAGTCTACATTGTAGATCTCTATTATCACAATAATTCGTAATCAATAAATCAGATGAAAATTGTTTTTGAAATTTTATCAAATTTTTATCACAAAGAGAATAAAAATTACGTTACATCCCAGTAACGATACATGTATATCGGGCAAACCTAAAATTCTCGTAAAATGACAGAAATATTTTGAACGCGACGACGTGAAAGTATGTGCCGAAATTGTGTTATAAAAATATGTCACAAAAGCTGTTCACTCTGCGCAGAATATTTGCAGCATCATTGTGCATCATATAAAATAAATCAAAAAATATTGAAAATCAAAGTTTTTTTGTCACATGTAATGCTATTCATTATACGAATATTTTGCGAATTAATATAATATTTATTTACGTGCGAAAGAATGTGTACATGAAAAAGGAGGAAAAAAGTAAACACATACTTCATCGAAGGAATGCGCTTTGTTTCGGGATATATCAATGTACTCGCATTTCGTAATTCGATATATATATACGCATGTTGCATATTTTAGTCAGAATATCAATTTTGTAAATCAATACGAGCATTGCCGCGCACCAAGATATTCCAGGTAACAAAAGCAATTTGGACTATTCCCCGTGGCAAATGAGGCGCCTCTGATTAACACACATTGGCTCAATTACACGGGTTAGCCGAGGGAACACGAAATTGCCTGCTATTAACGGTGGCGCGAGGGTGGATAGACATACGAGATATATCAGCCGGATAACACGACGATACGTTGAAAGCCATAGAACGTAATGGGATACTGCGGAACAAAATGTTTCGCTATTTTCTTCCTTTGCGTTAATTTAGGCCGTCGACGTGTTTGCGCGTGCAATTATTCGCGGAGGTAAACGCGCGAATTAACGAAAGTTGAAAGTAACAGTGCTTTTAACAGGTTTGGCAAAAGACTTTAAATTGTAAATATCCAGAGTAAAGAAATTTAATAATGAATAATTGTTAAGAATTTTCTTAAATTTTTATAATTTCTAAAAAAAATGCAAAAAATGCTGTAATTGATGATTGGATTTCAGAATGCATATCACTTATTAGGAAAATTATTTAAATCATAACCAGCATCGCATTTTTTCAGAAATTAAATAATGTATATATCGTTTAGAAATAATTATTTAAATCATAATGAGCATCACATTTTTCCGCAAATCATGATTTCTTTAAAAAAATTCTATTCTAAGGAATTATCTATTATTATAAATAAATAAATAAATATATTTATATATACATATATAAATTTTGAGTTGAATATTCTATATATATATGTTAAGAAAGAGGATCACAAAAAATAAGATTTTCTCCTTAACAAAAACAATTTGTTTAACAAATGCATCATTACTCACGGTAAATTATAAGACGATGAGAAGCACAGTTGAACATAGCACATGACAAATAGTATAACAGGAAAGAAGAGGAGTGACACACTGTTCCGTCGTGCTCGTTGCAAATTGGAAAGTTTGAAGAAATTATTATGACACTCCTGCACTGGTATAGCTGGCCGTGTTTCTTTATCACACTGAAACAATAATACGAATGTTTATTATGAAAATGCATTGGATTATACATTTCGCTCAACTTTGAGTAGACAAGACGTTCAAACATATACACTAGGCTGTTTATTTAAAATTCATATAAATATTACATATAAACATATAAATATTTACATATATGTATATTAAATTGCTTCCTATTAATTTTAAAAACTTAATTATATTGTGATATAGGTTTTTATAGTTTCTTTATATTTACCATAACTTTAACAATTCTCGAAAGCAGGAGATTGCACGTAATCGAAAGTCGAAATTTAACCTAATAAATAAAACTTGTCTGCAACGTGCGTATTTGTAAGATAATATATGAAATAATATAATAATTATATTACTTACATCGTTAATGAAATTATTACAATATCGATTGCTGCTTGCATAATTAATTTGCACTGGATCGCGATGGATAGAGATAACGAATTTCACAAAACACTCATTTCACTTTACGTCGCGCACAATTCAACTCTATTTGAATTATACAAGCATTGCGCTAAGTAGTTTGCGCACTTTGGCACAGAGTGCGTCACTTTATGAGTTGAGTAGGTAATGCAGATTTGACATGCGTCGGTAATTTAGATTCCGTAAAATTATCGTTTATCCCAAAGTACAATTCGCGATAGATAACAGATCATTTATTAATTCATTTTTGATTTTTAATAATTTATTTTGATAATTCATTCCATTGTATTTTGATAATTCATTCCATTCTCAAATTCTTATTTATTTATATTTTGCTTTTTATTTTGTCTATTTTATTTGAAACATATGCAATTTTAAATTCAGACGTATAATGCGTGAAAAATCTGTAACAAAGAGTTTCAAAACAATATTGTTTTTATTTAATAGAATTATTTATTATCACGTAACAAAATAAGTAACAGAAAGTTTTAAAGCAATGTTGCTTTTATTTATAATGGAATTATTTATTATCACATAACAAAGCGACGCCACGTAATATCCAATAATCAGGACTTTTTATGGTTTGCAGCCAAAGCGGTGTTATTAACAATACATAAGTCCTCTGAGGTTTTTTATACACAGGACACTGTGCAGGGAGAGAAACATTTAAAAATGAGAAATATTTATCTTATTATTTTTAAAATTGTAAACATATAAATATTTTAAAATCTATTAATTATACTCTCATATTTACCTGATACAATTTCGGACTCTTATCTGGAACATTATGTAAGACAAAAATATGTATTACTGGCATTAATACGTAAATGACTTTATTTGCCGATTCGCACAGACGACTATTTCTTCTATCCCAGCCGGCACCTTCCAGAAATAGCCCATAAACATAAACTCCTTCCTGTTTAACGAATATTTATCGTTAATATTAATTTTTATGCACGACGTTGTATATGTGCGTTACACTAATTATTATTGCATACAGGTGGCGGTGCCTTGATCTCCTCCGCAAGATTACGCAAAACTTCATTATGAAGCGTAACATTATCCAAAGCCCATTTATGAGCCCGCGTTATTTCCTGTTTCATTGCCGTTAAAAATCCTATAAACCCAACTTTTAATCGTACTTGATATTTTTTATTTTTTTTAATTCAATTATAACTTTTATAATTTTTAAAATTTATTTTAAAAATTCGTTCAACACGATATTGTTTACCTTGCGGATTAAAAAATCCGGTCATCCAAAACTTTGCCGGTCTCCCACCCTGCAACCAAGTCGAGAATTGTTGGTTTCTTTCTAATAGTTCCGTAAACCAGAAACCCAAGGAAGCGGACTCCCATGATCGAGCTTTCCAGATTCTTGGTATTTTCGCGTCGTATATATTATCGAGAGCATCTCGCAATTCCTTTAATATATTCGCATTTATTCGCTTTGTGCTATAATTATAACTTTAAGAAAATTACCTCGCTCATTATAATTACGCCTTCTATAGCCAGCAAAAGATCCTTGAGTGTAATGCGGACCAGTTTTATAACTACTTGTATCCTATCGATCTCTTGCTTTAGAAAAATATTCATCGGAGCAGCATGATTCATTGCGTGTAATCTGTGATAGCGTTAAATAATTCGTTAATTATTTTCAAGAAAATAGATCTTGCTTTATTAATAATCGCTAGAAAAAATAGTTTATAGTTAAAAATAAAAAAAATAAAAATGTAAATAATTTAATGTCGCTAGTCGAGTAATCAAAGGATCAATAGAAAAACTGTAGTCGACCAAACTAGCCAAAAAATTTTAGTTTATTAATACGACGTTTCGACCATGTGGTTGTGGTCCTTATCAAGTATATACTAAAAAAGATTTATAAATACATAAATTAACGGTTTGATTACATAGCAACGCACAGAGAATTAAAGTGTGAAAGATTTTTACCGATGTAATAATAATCAGAAGGCACCATAACTGGTGAACATATAAAACACGTAATCACATAATACAAAAAAACGTTATTTAATTAAATTCAAATTTGAGAGAAGCTGATGAAAAAAAATAAACAAATTGATGCGAACCTTTCTTTAACTTGAAACATATCGTATAGTGCTGGAACTTTATCTAGCATTTCCTTTGCCTGTCTTGTAACAACCACCTCCCGGGATTCTGCTCCAACAGCACCCGCTTCTTTCGGTTGTACAGATATTATCGTATCTAATACAGTCTGCGTAGTGTTACTCTGGTATCTACAATATAATACACACATTATTTTTCAATTACTTTGAATAATTCTGATTATTTGTATATATAAGTATCTATTTCCTTTCTCACAAAAATCTTACGTAATATCTGCATTTGGATGCAAGCCATATACTTGCGGCGGATCTATAGTACTCATGGCATCTATCGCCTTTAGATAATCGCTCACTACTTTAAATATCAAGAGAGGATAACCCTTGTAAAAAACGAAACCTTCCGCAAAAAGTGCATCTGTAAACCATACTTTCGCGAAGGTATTTAACAATCTTTTATCGTAATCGTCCGTAACACGTCCACCGTATTGTACTTCACCTATCATATAACTGTAACAATTATATAACATATGTACAAATAGAAGGTATTGACGCCATCGCTAAGGGAAATAAAGATGAAAGATGATGTAAAATTGTCGTTTACCGCACAATCTGCCAATTTATACCGCGCTTCGGATCATAATCGTTCAAATGATTATTTATAAACATGCAGGACGCCAACCAGTCCGCCAAATTAAATTCGTAAGGTATGTTCCACCCAAGAGGACCAAACTTTCGTCTCTCCTGAACTATCGTGTGCAAAAAAGACACGGTGTATATTAGCGGTATATATTGCGCGGCATCGCATTGATCCAGCATCTCCTGATTCATGCCGCTATACGTCGCTAACAAACCAGCGCGTACTCCTAACTCAGAAAAATCATATTTTCACTATCCTGTCCTCGCCACTTTTTTATAAGATGCTGTACTTTTATTCAAAGACGTAAAAATATAGATACCTACCTTGCGGAGGTTCGTATGTATATTTTATAGACATTTGCAACAAGGAAACGGGAAAATCTTTGTGCGGTTCCGTCGTGATCCATACGCGGAAATCCGGATGAGGTGCCTCCATTTCTAAGAGAAAGTTTGCCAATTCCGCCATGTATTCCAAACCTAAATGGCAATTCTGGCATAATGCCCAGAAACCCTGTGAATTGTTCCAATTAATATTTAAGGAACGTGTACCCTGAAGAATTCTTCTCTCCATAATATACATATGTGTACCTCAGTTTTTGCGCTATTAAGTAATCGACGAGCATGAACTTCTTGACCTTGTCCCATCGATACGCTTCTACAAACGATCTCCATCCTCTTCGCGAGTTGCTCGATACTAGGCGTAGGATCGGAGCCCATACTTAAGAAACAGATCATTGGCGTGTTTGGTCTCGACTCGCTATGCATCACGTCCAAAAGTGTAATCACAGGCTCTGCATATTTTGCTCCTAATGAAGACGCTATGTATTTCCTAGATTGCGATAATGCTCTGTCCATGCACCAAGCTCTATAAAGCACATTATTTCGCTCAAATTAGTAACACAATATTTGAAATTTTCTATTTAAAAAAAAATTTCAAGAGCAATCTATTGATATTTTAAATTTTTTATTTAAGATGCTTAAACTTTTCAAAATATTTCATGTATTTTATACATTTTTATACTTTGCTCGATCTTGATTTTTTAACAATATGAAAAGATTACCTAATTAAGAGCAATCGATGGAATGTGTTCAAAACGTTATAACCATCTGGTATAACTTCCTCTTCTGGTGCCTCTTTGTCGAACCAATGTTTCCAAACTTTCTCGGAAGCGGGTACTTGAGATACAATGTACTGAAATTGTCGCAATGACGAGAGTGCAATCAGATTAAGCCATGTCACATCCGTAATCCATTTGCAAGGTTTCGGCTCGACCGCTTTCAGATCCAGCGCTGCGCCGCCCTTAATAAGATACTGAAACTCTTCGTGCGTAATGCTGCCGCGTTGTAGATCAATTTTTAGTGTCATCAATAAAATGAACATATATTTGTGTATCTCGTAAAGTCCGCGTGCTTTATATTTAAATATATCGTACGTTAGATACTCGATAATGTAATTTATTCTTCTTTGATTAATTGGACTCTTCTCAGACCTAATCAAGAGAATTATGATTCCGTATATATGTCTCAATAAAAAAAAGAGTTGAATTTATTAATATTAAAAATATCTGTCACACATTACAGATCCTTATTCAAAAATTATCTATATTTACCTATCCATCGAGATATCAAATTGTTCTAAGAATTGAACAAGGGACGTTTGATACATGCAATTGACATGCGGCATGTCACATATCAGGAAATATAAAACGCTACCACGTGTTGCAATTGGTCGAAATTCTTCACGTGCTGTATCTATTTTTAATTCTGTATCCTTTGCGATTCTGAGCTTTTCATTTATTTCCGCCGCTGTTTGCTTTGTGATATTTAATACTGACATTAATTCAACGTCTTCTATCAAAGGACCCTTTAAACGTATGAAAAATGTTATAAAAATGATATTATTAAATTTGTATATTTCGCAGGTATTTAATTAATGTTTCAAAAAGGCATACATACCTGTACAGTTCCCAATTTATGTAAAAGATTCGTTTCTAATTCTTTGATCTTTCTGTTATGTGCGGTTACGTCGGCAATCAAATGTGTTCTTTCTGTTTCCAGCTCCTTCTTTTCTGTCAGAATGACTCTTCCTAAAAGTTGGTCCTCTAGACCTGTAAAGTGTAAGAAAAAAATTAAATAAATAAATTATAATATTATAATAATCAATAAAAATATAAAATTATAATTAAGAAGAATATAAATTTATAAATTTTAAAATTGTACAAAGATTGTAACATAATTTTACCTTTCATGGTAACTGTAAAATCGATTATAGATGCTCGAGCAAATATTTCGGGAGTATAAGAGGGATTTGGTAACTTTGTCGTGATATAAAGT